CCACGCCCGGCTAATTTTTTGGTATACTGTAGAAAGAAAGTCCCACCAAGTTGCCCAGGCTGGTCTCGAACCCGTGGGGTCAGGCAACCCTCTCGCCTCGGCCTTCCAAAGTGTTGGGATGACAGGTGTGAGCCACCACACCCAGCCAGCTCCTGTGTTTCCTTATTGTCTCTACCCTCCAGCCTAAAGCCAGCCAGCCCTACTGTGAGCTGCCTGCAAAGCCTGTGCTGGTCAGTGACACAGGGGCGGGTGAGGTACAGCGCATCACCGGAAGCACCACCAACAGGACGGAGACACAGCAGATGATTTCAGGACAACTGTGGGCCTGCCCGCAGACTGCACCCAGGAGGGGTGCCCCACCCAGGCCCCGTGAACCCACCAGGTGCCACCCTGTGGGGCAGGCTCATCTCCACCTCACACGCCGAGCTCCAAGTTCAAGGTCGGACAGGATCATCGCTGTCTCCCTCGTCCTAAGCAGGCAGGGCCCTGAAGGTGGCCTTCACAGGGGCTCTGGATGTTGAGAGATGCAGGTCACTCTGGCTGAAATGCACCTTCCCCGTCCTCACTCGGCAGCGTCGCCTGTGGCCGAGGGTCAGCAGTGCCCGCCCCGCCCACCTGGCTGCCAACACATCTAGGCTGTGACCCTCGGAATCCGAAGGTGACTCCATCATGTCTCCTTAACCCTCAAAGTGTACCAAACAGGAGGCACCGCTCCATCCCTCCTCGTGGTCATTCCCCCCACACCCCGGATGTCCAAGAGCATTTCAGGAAGACTTCAGCTTTACAAGAATGTGCAACAGAGAATTAAGGAACCCAGCAATCCAAGGCCGGCTACATGCGGGTTTCTATACATATTTTTTGTAGTGTAAAGCAGTTCCAAGAAAAGTGAAGTCACAGCCTCGGGTTGCTTGTTTTCAGTTCTTAGAAACAGGCCAATTTCAACAGGGAGCCGCTCTGCCCAGCACACAGGCCGGCTGTCTGTGGGGGTGGGGGAGGGGGCTGCTGATACCCCAGCTTGGAGTTGGCACCAGAAACCTCAAACCTCCGAGATATGTTTTCATCTGTTGATGTCAGGGAGGAAACACCCGCGAAACAGCGAAAGTTATTAATATTCAGAGAAACCACAGGGCTTGGCTACATGCCGGCTCGGCTACATGCCGGGGCCACAGGCTCCCAGCAGCCTCCTCTTCCTGCCCCCCCACCGCACTCTGGAGATGGTTTACTGCCCAGGCCACAATGCCAGCCCGACCCGCACTTGACCATGAGGCATCACTCGCCAGAAGTCAGCCGGGCACAGGCCAGGCCAGGTGCGGCGCAGGAAGCTCTCAGCTGCTTGGGCCATTTCCAGCAGGAAAGCAAGTTCCAGCTTAGGGGGATGGGACCACGGCGGGCAGGCTTCAGGCCAAGGGTCCACCACACACCCGCTCAGGGACTGCTGCTGGGGCCCCGGAGTGATTAGTGACTGTGTTAACCTTAGAATTCTGTGACAGGTCCATGGTCTGCACCAACATTAAATATCAATGCAAGCCGGGCTTAGTGGCTCAGCCTGTAATCCCGCGCCTTTGGGAGGCTGAAGGTCACAGCCTAGATGTGTTGGCAGCCGGGTGGGCGGGGCTGGCACTGCTGGCCTGAGCCCGCGGGTTCGAGACCTGCCTGGGCAGGCGAGACCTCATCTCTACAATAAATAAAAAAAAAATTAGCCGGGCATGGTAGCGCGCGCCTGCAGTTCCAATTACGTGGAAGGCTGAGGCAGAAGGATCGCCGGAGCCCAGCAAGTCAAGGCTGTGGTAGCCGGGAGCGGCCACTGCACTCCAGTCTGGCCGACAGAGTGAGACTCCAACTCAAAAAAAAAAAAATGTCAATGCAAGGCAGGCTGTGGTGGCTCAAGCCTGTAATCCCAACACTTTGGGAGGCAGAGGCGAGAGGCTTGCCTAAGCCCAGGTGTTTGAGACCAGCCTGGGCAATTTGGCAAGACCTCATCTCTACAATAAATCAAAGGATTATCCAGGTGTGGTAGCGCACACTTGCAGTTCCAGCTACTTGGAAGGCTGAGGCAGAAGGATCACCTGAGCTCAGCAGGTAGAGGCTACAGTGGCTGTAAGCATGCCACTGCACTCCAGCCTGGGAGACAGAGTAAGACTCCGACTCAAAAAAAGGGTTAATGCAATCAAAAGCAACTGATCACTTGTCAAGGGAGATCCTGGGGGGACGTGACTACATAAAATGTGGTATCCTGGAGAGACCCTGGAACAGAGGACACTGGGAAAAAGCTAAGGAAATGTGAAGAAAGCACAGACTTGGGTTAATGAGAACATCTCAATATTGACTCGTTAATTGTAATATATGCACTGTACCAATGTACGATGCTGGTAGGGGAAGCAGTGTAGGTATGTGGGAACACTTGCCACTATCTCTGCCATTTTTCAGTGGGTAATTTTTTTAAAGGCAAGGACATACTGCTTCTCACAGCAACAATGATTTGGTGTCTACCACATACCAAGTACTACGTAAAAGCAATTCACACTCATCTTCATTTATTCCTCACACCAGTGTTATGAACTGGGTATAATCTGCATTCTATAGATAAAGAAGTTGAAGAACAGAGAGGTTAGGTAACTTGTTCATAGTCACACAGCAAGTTGAGTGGCAAATGAAGGACTCAGATTCTATAGGGCTGTAAAGTTGCCATTAAAGCCCAGCTATATTGCTTGAAAAACCCCAAACTATGAACATAAACCAGTTTGAAACAATAAAAGTAGCTGGGCTTGGTGGCTCAGCCTGTAATCCCGCGTCTTTGGGAGGCTGAGGTGAGTGG